ACCACTTTGGGGAAGTTTGCTAATGGGAGCCGGTGAGGGTATGGCAGCAGAACTGGAGGCAGACTTGTCATCTGAATTGTCCGTCACACTGTTGGACTCAGCAGGTGGGGACAAGTGTGCTTGGAGGCCCGAAAGCACCCTTGTCTGTGGCACAGACTATGTATATGTACTGTAATACAAGGAGTACTCACGTTACTTTCCCAGGGTGATTCACAGAGCTCTTGCTTACTTCTTCCTAGAACCCCTCTGGATGGATAATTATTTGTCTGGAACTGCAGTTTGGTCAGTGTTTGTACTGCTTTGTCCTCTGGCTTTGATAGCCGGCCGATAGGCAGTGACTCAGAAGAATTGCTACTGGGCAGAGCAGAGAGTGGTTCTTTGTGCTGCAGCCAACAAATACTGTGATACCCATTCATACCATCAGCTCATCAACTCTGTGCCTCACTCGCAAATAGAAGTGACATTGACTCCTCTTTCTTCTGATTGTGTGCATGGGCCTTTGTTTGTACCAGCTTTTCCTCCTTTCATGATGCCTTAGCTCACTTTGGAAGGTACAGACAGTGAAAATCACACCAGAATTTCACCCTGCATCTTGCTGACTTGTGGGTAGCTCTCACATAGTGGTTCACTGGAAGTGTAATCCTTGGTTCCAGACCTGTAACACTTGGAATTGGTTAGAAATGGGATAATCACACCCCATGTCTGGCCTAATAGATCAGTTATTCTTGGGCCAGAACCCAGTAATCTATGAGTCATCCAGAGATAGTTTGTTTTGTGCTTGAGCACCATAGTTCAAGCAAAAACTGGAACTGTCATGCTGTATTTTTCATCTCAACCCTATAAGAAGTCCCTCCCCTCACCCCCATCCCCATCCCCGCCAAAAAAAAAATGAAGAAGCCATATAAGATGGCTTTGAATTTGGAACAGGGTCTCGCTACACAGCTCAGACTCATAGTGATCCTCCTGTTTCAGCCTTCCCACTGCTGGGATTACAGGCATGCGCCACCATGCCATGCCTCTGTGGTTGGCTAGGCACATCTGGGGTGGGGCTGGCATGGCATACAGTATTAGGGATTGCACCCTGGGTCCTTGCACTTGCCAGGCAGATGCTTAGACTCCTGAGCTATCTCCACAGCTCTCTAAGATAGCTTTGACAATATAAGGATTTTATGAAGGGTTCAGTGCTCACTGCCTCAGAGTTAGAGTTCATGTAGCTTTGCATTTTGTTTAACTTAATATTTTCCATTGGTCCCAGAATTATTTATCACTGTGTAATATTTTCTGCCCTGTGTCACTAACCCTCAGTGTCTTTTCTTTTTCGCCCCACTCAAAACCTGAGCACTTGGACTAGAGAGATAGCTTGGCAGTCTAAACATCTGCCTGGCAAGTGCAGGGACTTGGGTTAGATCTCCAGTACCACATTCAGTGCCTGCTACAGAAACCAGGTGTGGTGGGGCAGGCTAGTAATACCAGCACTAGAAAGACTGAGAGATAAGGATCACTACAAGTCTGAGATGCATAATAAGACCCTGTAACAAATAAATAAATAAATAAGTTTAAAACCTGAGCACTTGAAAGTCACTATGTCTGACCTTCCTCTTCTGTCAGCTTGGATGTCAAGTGCAATTTTCCCAGACCCTACATTGCCACCACATGTCTTGGCTACAAATTGGAGAGGAGTCACAGCATGCTCATTGTGCCATGGGGGTGAGGTGTGTGGAGAGATGGCAGACTTGGCAGGCAGCCAGACCTAGAGAAAATCCAGATTCTTCCCCAGGCAGGCTCTATAGACTGGGAGAAATGGCTGATATTCACAAAGGTCTTGCAGGGGAGTGAGCACAACAGGTGTGCACCATGTGGTGAGTATGGGATTTAATGCCATAGGACCTGCTGGCTCTGCCATCTCTCAGTTTTGTGCCTTTGACCTTGTTCTGCCATCAACAAAATGAGAGGTAATACTAAAAACAGCATATCAGGCAGTGCTCATTGAAATGTTAAATGAAGGGTGTGCATGTAAAAGAAAAATTCCTTGTAAACTGAAAAATACTATTAAATGTTAGTTATGACAGGTGAAAAAAATAAGCCCTATTTACAGGGCCTCTATACTTTACCTGACCCACAGGCAGGTGACCTAGAAACTTCAGTCTTCTTTCACACCAGCAGAGCCCCAAAGCACAAGAACAGTGCTTAGCCCCAGGGACCTTGTTCCAGCTGACAGATAAGAATGATGTGTAAATAGCACAGGCTTGGTTTTATGTCCTATCCTCCTCAGTATTGATTTGTTTATCAAAAATTGTATTTATAAGGAGTACAAAAATAAACCAGTCCAAATTCTGCAGGATATATCACAGGTTCTGAATTAATGAGGTCCAAATTTATGAGGGTTCTGAATTGCTATTTTATTTTCTTATTCATCTATAATTGGATGAGGTGGGGAGAAGCTGATGTGTTGGTTACAGAAGGGGCCCAGCCCTCCCTGGAGGTTGGATGCACCTTCCACCCACCTGTTCTCTGAGGAAGACACATTTCTTCAGGTGATGGGTCCTGTTTACAGCTGCCACATAGCTGGAGATCTGAGCAGAAGCCTTTAGTTCAGCCCAGAGAATTCTGGAAAACCATGGATTGAGATCACAAGGATTTCTGAGAATGCTCCTCACGAAAAGCTGTGTTGATTGAGAAATGAACTCATTGATTCAAAAGTCAAGGCAAAATTTTCATGATCTTGAGGCTGTAAGTTCAGGGCTACCATTGTCAGAGTGGAAGCAACCTCAGTGTCACATTAATAAATAGAGGGGCTCTTTTTTGCCTTTTCATTTTTTGCTTTTTTGAGACATGGTCCTGCTTTGTAGTGAAGGCTGACCTTGAACTCACTGTGTAGCCTTGGTGGGACTCCACCTCATGACGGTTCTCCTGCTCTGGCCTCCTGAGTGCTGGCATTGCAGGAGTGCACCACCACGCCTGGCTCTAGATGTGTGAACTTGTGCGCTCTAACCTACATCTGCTGAATCTGGAACTCCGAGTGCTGGTCCTGTTGATCTCATGTAAGCTCTCCAGGTTACTTTCGTGCATGCTAAGGTTGGAGTTGTGGAGTAAGCATGAAAAAACTCAATACGACCCTCCAAAGGAGGGATGTGGAGCCCTGAACATAAGTCCCAGCAAATGATCATTGGTCCCACTTAAATGAACTCAAATTGACCTGTTCCTACTCTTGTACTGGGACTATAGTTCTCATTGTCCTGATAGAAGAGCAGAGCTTTTCCAGAATATTCATGGACTCTTCACTCCTGCATTCAAATCTCAAGAACGTCTGAGCATCTGTTTTTAAAAACACTCTCTATGATTCCCATGTGCACCTGAGATCGAGATCTGTGGATCCGGAGTGTTCCTTGGTAGGAAAAAATGATTTGCTTTGTATATACCTTTGCCATGAACTTTCTGTTACACGTGTGTTTTATCTATTTATATTAGAAATGTGTATATTCATTATGGAAGCAAAGTTGGAAAGTGTAGAAGAGTTGAGAGGAGTAATAAATTGACACCCATGTTCCAACCATCCCAGGGTAGCTGTCAGTGTCTTTGTTCGTTTTCTTTCAATCTTTTCAGTGCTTTGGGGGCTTTTAATGTGCTAGCTTAAATTTTAATAGCTCTGTTATCATATTTAATTTAATATAACACCTTCTATCTACTTTTTAACTTTATATCTTAAGTAGTTTCCCACATATTGTAATTATAAGTACAGTTTTAATGTGTGTATGTGACAATGTGAAAAGAAAGTGACTTTCTCTATTTTTGCATATACATACTTTAGGATGGCATTTAGAGGCCTTTCTTTCCTTACAATGACTGTATTCAAGCGTATTGTAAAATCTTTACTTTGAATGTCAGAAGTGGAATATTAACTTCTCTGAATCTCTTTCTCTGTAGTTCTTAACCTGCCCTCGGCCTTTGCTTAACTCAGCCCCACAGGTGGATGTCTGCATCCTGCTGATGCAAGATATGGCCCTACTGTGGAAAATAAAAAAGGAAAACACATAAATATTTTCCCAGTGTTTTATAACTATTATTCTACTTGTTAAGGTTAATGGCTGTAGAAGTTCTCATAAGTCATAAGTTTGCAGTTCCACAGTTGAAGGGTTAAAAACACACACATGCAGAGAGAGAGAGAGAGAGAGAGAGAGAGAGAGAGAGAGAGAGAGAGAGGCAGAGACAGAGACACAGAGACAGAGAGACACAGAGAAAGAGAACAGACCCCATCAGGCACATTTGTGCTTGCTGTGAAAAGAAACAAAACAAATGTACAAAACAAAGAAGAGAGAGAAGGGTGGGAGAGGAGAAAGATGGCAGGACAAATATGAAGCTCTTGGTGTGCAATGGTTCAGTGTGTAGTCTTAGTTTGATTTTATTATAGTTTGGAATGAGCACACATTTAGTACCAACCATAATTTAAATTTTAGTCTGTTTCTGGAGTAGAAGTCTGTAGCATGAAGTGATGTAGAACAACGGCAGTCAGCCACAGCAACCTAGCGAGACTTAACCAGAAAGTAAGCCAACTGACCCTCAACAGTGTGCTGTGTTGCTAAGCTATCCTGTTCATTAAATGCATTTTGACTTATGATGTTTCAACTTGCCATGGGATTATCAGGATATAACTCCATTGTAAGTTGAGGAACATCTATAAAGTACTGTTCTGAAGTGCTTTGTACTTAGTCAGAAATGCCAAAATCAAGCCATGTGTCCTACTCCCCATGTTCAACATAATGTTCTTCTTTGTTGCCAATAGTATATACATATACATATATGTGTGTACATGTATATAGTGAGAAATGTATTCTCAGTAATATATGTGATATATTACCTTTTTTCTGGGGGCACTTATGCCTTCTGACTTAGCCACTGGTTCAAACATAGTGCACCATCAACTTAGACTGAGATGGAGCTGCACTTGTCTTCTGTGTGGGTGTCATGGATGCGTCAGGTAATTCTGCCCCATCTTCTTACAGGGCATTATGGGAAGGATGCTTACCGAAGTGGAGGACCAGATCTCCATAACTTCATCTCATCTGGATTTGTCACATTAGGAAGAGGACACACGAAGGGTACAGTGGAAACCATTTTTTACTAAAATACAGAGATTGCCTAGGGAGCCCCAGTCTGAGATGTGAAGACGGTGTGGCGGCCAGAGGCTTAACTGGGACAGGAATAATTGGGGAGGTTCCATGGCTGCTTGTCCTGGGGAGATGCATAGCTTCTAACAGGAGTGACAAGGGTATCACATTTGTCACTGTAGAAAGTGACAGACTTCCAAGAGACATCCATCCTGCTCCACCATGTCAGAGAGCAGGACACCAGTGCTGGTGGCTGTGTATACAAAGGAACCACACACAGCATGGTGAGAAACACTACCAATGGATGTGGCAGCATTTATAAAGTGTGTGTTCACCTCTTGGCTATCCCCTTCCCATTTGAAAGCCACGTTTTATCACCTGATGTCAATGTTCTATACTGTGGGTTTCCAAACCAGTGTGCATGTGGAGCGTTTAGTGTCCTAAGTGTGTCTCTGTAATACTCTATGATGTGGACACAAAAGTAGAGGTTACACAGACCTGCAAGCCACAAGATGAAAGCTAATCTAGCATTCTGCAAGCTGCTTTATGACCTAGCTGACAGCTTGCAGAACATCTGTGCAGGGGGTATGGAATCCTCCTCGATTCTGTCTTTTGTTTAAACAGAGTCCTACTAGTGTTGTGAGCATTCTGGCACATCAAGAGTAACTGGATCCCTAACTCCTTTGATTACCTTCCCAACACCTGTGTGCTCTTATAGACCAAATGTGAATCCTGTTGTTGGGATAGTATATCCCTGTCTTCCTCTGCAATATATGTTTGTTTCAAGTGTGAGTGAACAACGAACTCTGCAATATTTTCTTACATTCCATGCACCTAATTTTTAAATTCCGTATGTGATGTCTGTTCATCCTATAGAGAAATAATCTGTACCTGTGTATGTATTTTCTGTTGTGTCTATTCGTGTCTAAATAAAGTTTATTGAGGATACAGCTGGCATTTGTGGATGCTAAAAGTTGCAGAATCCAATTGGGACCAAGGGAAAATGGGCTACACAGTGAACCACCGATAAAGACAAACCTGAGCTGGCCAGCCCCGATGTCATCTATTTCATGACGATTACATATACCTGTGAAACAGACTACTCTAAAACTTAGCATTTTAAAACAATAATAAACATTATCTCACCTACTTTCTATGGGTTGGGGATTCGGCCATTTCTGAGTTGGGGTGTCTTGTGGGTTTGCAATCACTAAGTCAGGCTGGGCCGCATGATCTGAAGGCTGGACTGGGGAATCGGTTTCCAAGATGGTGTACTCACATGGTGCCAGCTGTTGGCGTAGGCCTCAGTGTCCCACCCCTGTGTGATATTCTCTCCATGAACTAATTGAATGGTACAGTAGGGTGGCTGGGTGCCCGCAGAGTGGGTGATACAAGAAAGAAAAATGTACAAGCCACAGTGTTGTTCCTGACCAAGGCTATTGGCTACACAATACCATTTCCATGAAGCCTCATAGTTATTACCCATCAGTCCTTTTCAGGGAGAGAGGAAACCTGTGTAGAGTCAAGAATATCCGGAGCTGAAGATCACTGGGAGTCATTTTAGAGACTGGTTTGCTCATAACTGCCTGGAGTGGAGCTACAAATCTGGATTTTTCAAACAGAACACAGTAACTCTTAACCAAGGCTTATCAGCTGCATGCTCCACCCCCCATACTCCTGCCTCTTGTGGGCAGTTCATCCCAATCACCAAATATTCTAAGCTGTAAACCTTTTTCTACTTGAAAAATATTTCACGAGTCTTGTTATATGCCAAGGAATATCAAAAAGCAAACAAAATAGAATTCATCCTTATGGAGTTCATATATCCTTGGGGAAAGGAAACAAGTATGAATTCTTGACAACAAACGCAAGGGATAAAAGTTGAGGGAAGCAAGAGTACTGAGAGTGTTGTCCCAGAAGCTTCTCATGCTAGGCCAGGTCAACCTTCTTGATAAGGGGATGATCAGAGACCTGCCTTCCAGGCAGAAGCCATAGGAAAAGACGAGGCAGAGACTTTCTGTTGCATAAGGAAATAAGAAGGAAGCCAGTATGTGTGAAGCAGGACAGGAGAGCTTCAAGGCCCCAGATGGTACTGGGAGGCCACGTGGGTCATAGAGACAAGGTGAGAATATAAAAATCTACTGCCTCATGAGGACCTTTCCAGATCCTGCAAAAAGATCCCAGATGGATCCCTTCTTTCTGTCTAAATTACAGTCTCTGAAGATTAGGCTGAAGATAATATTTAGGCCCAAGCTATTTGCAAACGTGCTGTGCAGTGAGGCACTCTGAGAGGTCTGGTGCAGACTATAGAGGACAGGAGTGAGTGCTGCAAAAGGGGTGAGTACATTAGAGCAGGTGATGAGACCAAAGTGACAGCCATCGTAGGACCTGCAGCAAGGGGACTTGGCACCATGGCACCTCAAGCCCACCTTCCTGAGCAGAAGCAGCAACAGGGCTCAGGGAACTCTACTGGGAATTCCATCTGGCCAGGCTGATGGCACCTGCTTTATCTTGGACTTCCTGAGAAGGGAATGAAGCCAGGAATTTGTTTGGGTGGTCAGAAAATGCACAGAGTTTACACAGTGATGATTCTGGGTAAGTAGTCCAACAGGAATAAGATAGAAAAACAAGAAAAAGTAGCGATGAGAGCACACTGGTCAGTGCTGGTGGGAGGATGTAGATTTCTGAGGTGGTTTAGCTCTGGAGAATGATGAAGGGTGAGAAATGACTGAGGAAGTGGGTGGTTGCATGAAACACAAGAGTGAATCCAAGTTGCATTCAGAACCCCCACAGCTTGTTCGTGTTTCTGCTTTTCTTTTCTGAGTGTTCCTCCCAGTGTCCCCCTCACAATCAAGATGCACTGTTGAGCTCCCCTGGGGTTCTTCACCCTAGCTGCTGGTCTGACCCACCTGCACCTCTGGGGCCAGGCTCACCTCTCCCCCCAGCCAGTTTGTCTGGGCACTGTTTTGGCCTCATATATGGCTTGAAGTCAGCTTTTCTTTTCCAGAAAGGAAAGTGAGATGTGAATGCATAGGCCTCCATAGAACCACAGGCTGCCACCCCCACATAAAGATTTAAGCAAGAACCCTCAGACCATTAGTGGAGTGTATCAAAGCGACCCCTGCACTATTTAACTAAAGGAATCCAGATTAGACATGTTCACAGTCTGGGGAGCCAGGGGAGTGAGTGGGTTGGAATAGACTAAGGTATTTGAAGGCTGAACTCCAGGGAAAGCACAGAGCTCAGATGGCGTCCAGTCTCCATGGCAACAGTGCGTCAGGAGAGATCCAGCAAGAGAGAGGTCCAGGCATAGCTTGCCTGCGAATGGCCTCTGTGAAGCCCATACAAACTGGGAGCACTCTTTCTGGTACCTCTCTACGAGGGCAGTGTTGGGGACAGAAGTGGAAGCAGGGGGTGGGTAGCTCCTAGGATTATGGCGGAGGGTACCAGAGCTCTAAGCCATTATTCGTGGTTTGATTTGGGTACATGAGACAGCTCCCTTTTGTAGACCACGCCTGTTGCTTTGTGATTAATGGCTAAACACAGAACACTTGTCATTAACTGGGTGTGTTCGGCTTCATTTGGTGATATTTTATGTGACCCTGGCCAGCACACCAGGCTGTTCCTAAGTCTTACCCTTAGGAAAATACATGACATCAGTATGATTCCATATTTTGTTATAATTGAATCAACTTCACACTGTGGGTAATTAGAAAAACTGATTGCATCAGAAGCAATCATGGATCTGCAAGAATGGTGAGTTCTACCTTCTTCCAATGAATCTATCTCTCAGTATAACTGCTATTCAAACAAAAATGAAAAGAAATAAGACAAAAAAAATTCAATTGCTCTCTGAGTATCTCAGTTGGACACTCTTGCTTGCAAGCTCAGCCATTTTGTTTAAAGGAAGCTATTCTGTAAAACTCTATTTGCCTTGTGGATATGTCAAGAACACTCATCACCTTCAGAAACTAGAACGGTACTATGACTTTCCTCCATTAGCCTTGGGACTCTGTCTCCACCTTGTTTCAGCAGCAATTAGATCATGCAGGTTGATAAGAGGATTATAATGTCCTGGACCCATTCTCTAAGCCACCCACGAAGTCCACGTCAAAAGTAGCATCACCTGGTTTGTTGTCAGATACCCTACTTGAAGCAACATGTCTGGCATTGCAAAGTCAGGCTGCAAGCTAAGCAGAGTGCAAAATAACAAAGCTAACTTGTGGCCAGTACAATCTCTTGTCCTGGCATTGGTCTTGACACTGACTGGCATTGCCTCTCTTTCAGTTACCTCATCCTGAAAGAGTACTTGGATTGAAATGACATATTAACTTGTGTCTTCAAATGATACATAGTCTGTCACCCAAATCACACAACCTTGATGAATGTGTGTTGCATGGAAAAGTTCCCATCCACCAGGTCTTATGCTGAATCTGAGAGCATACATGTCCTGTTTAATGTTTGTCCATGGGCTTGCTGCCTCGGGCCCATGCAGATGCCAGACCATTCTGCCAAATCAGTCTTCTGAAATGATATAAGGAGTAAAGAGATGGGCAGAATACAGTGGTAGTCTTTTTGCTTTGGGGAGTTTCAACCATTCTCTGTAGGCTAGATGTGTGCTCTCGTCAAAAGAGGAATCCTGGGAAAAGCTAGATTTCCCAAGGGACAAGAGGAGAACCATTTTGTGCCTTGGATTTATGGATGCATTCCTTGTGCTCAGCATCTACTACCTGACTTTGATTTCTAACAGGTGAGGAGGGGTTGAGGGAGACTGATGTTCAGAAGCCTGTTACATCCTGAGTCTTGGTGCTGGCCTTACATTTTCTTTGGAAAAAGACTGAAGATCAGGTTCTGTTTGTCCAAAACCTGGCTTTTCCAACCAGAGGTCTAGCATCTCTGCTTTTCTTGTTTTCCAGTTCCTTAGTAGTGCCCGACCTGTGTTTTTTCTTGTTGTGACTCTTGGCAGAAGTTGTCCCCAGGAGCAGGTTGGT